CGTCAGCGGAGAGATGCGTACTGTATATGCTGCTCGCTTGGTGCCGTACCTCACTGAACTTCTCACTGATTTCTCACAATACTATAAGACTGTTTCAATTACAGAAATTTCATTGCTTGCTTTATCCATCTTTTATCCCAGAAAACATTCGCCGTGGTTCATACGATAAATGTGTATTTTTCTCTCAAACTGTTGACATTACTATATGTGGGAGCTTAGGGACAGGTCAATGTTAAGAATAATTAGTTTGTTTTGGAAATGTAGATAGATCGATGTTTCGACATTATATAACACTGGTTCTAGCATTGATTACCATTCAGCCTCCGTCAATGGGCGGAGTTGGGTACACATGTGTTGGGGGGCATGACATCGATAACTATCTTACTGTATTGATGACTCGGGATTATATCATTATAATGCCTTCGCGCTATTGTTGCAGTTAATTCTGGCCAGGAATCATTGGCCGGTCTGAAGGCGCATCTTGTGCTTGTACAACTGACGCAACTGTAGGCCATTACGCAAAGTTAGATATCAACCATTACATCTGGTTGAAGTCTGAGAAATCACTTGAATATGATTCTCTTAGTAGAATCAATAGATTCAAGTGATTACATCGTTATTGAATGTGCTTCATAGACAATTCAAGTTTGTATATCAATATTATTCTATACAATAACGTGGGCACCAAAACTATGAATCGTGTCTGTAAATACCGGTTGATCTGACACGTGGGGTGGGGGAGTTAGGTTCGGTAATTAATGTGTGTTTGGGGGTTAAGTTCGGTAATTAATGTGTGTTTGGGGGTTAGGTTCGGTAATTAATGAGTGTTTGGGGGTTAGGTTCGGTAATTAATGAGTGTTTGGGGGTTAGGTTCGGTAATTAATGTGGGTTTGGGGGTTAGGTTCGGTACTTAATGTGTGTTTGGGGGTTAGGCTCGGTAATTAATGTGTGTTTGGGGGTTAGGTTCGGTAATTAATGTGTGTTTGGGGGTTAGGTTCGGTAATTAATGTGTGTTTGGGGGTTAGGTTCGGTAATTAATGTGAAAGTTACAGAGGGCAAAAATACAACATTTCAGGGCTGGGAGTTATGAAGTAGATGGGGATTATGGGATTGAGAGAAAGGGGTGGGGCGATGGCTAGGTAAGTGGGTGGGTGGGTGGATGGGAAGAATGGGATGGAGAGAAAGGTGTGGCGCATTTGTCTAGGTAGGTGGTGGTGTTATGAAGGAGATGGGGAGTATGGGATGGAGAGATGGGGGTCGGGGGATGGCTAGGTAGGTGGTGGTGTTATGAAGGAGATGGGAAGAATGGGCTGGAGAGATAGGGTCGGGGGATGGCTAGGTAGGTGATGGTGTTATGAAGGAGATGGGGAGTATGGGATGGAGAGATAGGGGTCGGGGGATGGCTAGGTAGGTGGTGGTGTTATGAAGGAGATGGGGAGTATGGGATGGAGAGATGGGGTCGGGCGATGGCTAGGTAGGTGGTGGTGTTATGAAGGAGATGGGGAGTATGGGATGGAGAGATGGGGTCGGGCGATGGCTAGGTAGGTGGTGGTGTTATGAAGGAGATGGGGAGTATGGGATGGAGAGATAGGGTCGGGGGATGGCTAGGTAAGTGGTGGTGTTATGAAGGAGATGGGGAGTATGGGATGGAGAGATAGGGTCGGGGGATGGCTAGGTAGGTGGTGGTGTTATGAAGGAGATGGGGAGTATGGGATGGAGAGATGGGGTCGGGCGATGGCTAGGTAGGTGGTGGTGTTATGAAGGAGATGGGGAGTATGGGATGGAGAGATGGGGTCGGGCGATGGCTAGGTAAGTGGTGGTGTTATGAAGGAGATGGGGAGTATGGGATGGAGAGATAGGGTCGGGGGATGGCTAGGTAAGTGGTGGTGTTATGAAGGAGATGGGGAGTATGGGATGGAGAGATAGGGTCGGGGGATGGCTAGGTAGGTGGTGGTGTTATGAAGGAGATGGAGAGATGGGGTCGGGGGATGGCTAGGTAGGTGGTGGTGTTATGAAGTAGATGGAGAGATGGGGTCGGGGGATGGCTAGGTAGGTGGTGGTGTTATGAAGTAGATGGAGAGATGGGGTCGGGCGATGGCTAGGTAGGTGGTGGTGTTATGAAGTAGATGGAGAGATGGGGTCGGGGGATGGCTAGGTAGGTGGTGGTGTTATGAAGTAGATGGAGAGATGGGGTCGGGCCATGGCTAGGTAGGTGGTGGTGTTATGAAGGAGATGGGGAGTATGGGATGGAGAGATGGGGGTCGGGGGATGGCTAGGTAGGTGGGTGGTGTTATGAAGGAGATGGGGAGTATGGGATGGAGAGATGGGGGTCGGGGGATGGCTAGGTAGGTGGGTGGTGTTATGAAGGAGATGGAGAGATGGGGTCGGGGGATGGCTAGGTAGGTGGGTGGTGTTATGAAGTAGATGGAGAGATAGGGGTCGGGGGGTGGCTAGGTAGGTGGGTGGTGTTATGAAGGAGATGGGGAGGATGGGCTGGAGAGATAGGGTCGGGGGATGGCTAGGTAGGTGGTGGTGTTATGAAGGAGATGGGGAGTATGGGATGGAGAGATGGGGTCGGGCGATGGCTAGGTAGGTGATGGTGTTATGAAGGAGATGGGGAGTATGGGATGGAGAGATGGGGGTCGGGGGATGGCTAGGTAGGTGGGTGGTGTTATGAAGGAGATGGGGAGATGGGGTCGGGCGATGGCTAGGTAGGTGGTGGTGTTATGAAGTAGATGGAGAGATGGGGTCGGGCCATGGCTAGGTAGGAGGGTGGTGTTATGAAGGAGATGGGGAGTATGGGATGGAGAGATGGGGGTCGGGGGATGGCTAGGTAGGTGATGGTGTTATGAAGGAGATGGGGAGTATGGGATGGAGAGATGGGGGTCGGGGGCCGGCTAGGTAAGTGGTGGTGTTATGAAGGAGATGGGGAGTATGGGATGGAGAGATAGGGGTCGGGCGATGGCTAGGTAGGTGGTGGTGTTATGAAGGAGATGGGGAGTATGGGATGGAGAGATAGGGGTCGGGGGATGGCTAGGTAGGTTGGTGGTGTTATGAAGGAGATGGGGAGTATGGGATGGAGAGATGGGGGTCGGGGGATGGCTAGGTAGGTGGTGGTGTTATGAAGGAGATGGGGAGTATGGGATGGAGAGATGGGGGTCGGGCGATGGCTAGGTAGGTGGTGGTGTTATGAAGGAGATGGGGAGTATGGGATGGAGAGATGGGGTCGGGCGATGGCTAGGTAGGTGAGTGGTGTTATGAAGTAGATGGGGAGTATGGGATGGAGAGATAGGGGTCGGGCCATGGCTAGGTAGGTGGTGGTGTTATATGAAGTAGATGGAGAGATGGGGTCGGGCGATGGCTAGGTAGGTGAGTGGTGTTATGAAGTAGATGGGGAGGATGGGATGGAGAGATAGGGGTCGGGCCATGGCTAGGTAGGTGGTGGTGTTATATGAAGTGGGTGGAAAGTGTTGGATGGAGAGGTTCGGTGGATGGGTGTGAAGTAGATGGCGAGGCTAAGAGCTACTAAGAATTGGATGATGAGGGGGTGGAGCCGAGAGAAGAGCCAGTGTTTAGCGTTGCTTGGGTGGGCATGAAGTGGCGGAAGGAAGGAATTAGGAATTAAGGTCGTTATGCGGTGGGAGCGGGGATTGATGACTTGTAATTGATAGGTTGTTGTTCACGGAATTGCAGGGGCGGGTGTCACGTGTACATACAACATGGTCCCTGGTTCAAAATAGTAATATGTACATCAAAGATACAGTATGGAACATTAAGCGATAGTCAGTTAAGGCACACCATTGTCGGGCCTTCACAGGTTGCATTAACCGAGTACTCGTAGCGCCAGGCCTTAGAAGCTTAGGGAGCACAATCCTGGGGTAGATTAGGTTCTATCCAGGGGGAACAACTGGCCCATGATGTGTGCAGGTCACCCGGAACACATACGTAAAGGATGATAGGGACAGAAGAGCTATATGTTTACTTGCTATGATTCAGGGCCCACTTTCACAAAGCCATCTTAGCGCTAAGATGATCGTAACTCCCATACTTTAACATAGGCTTACAATAGTTGTAGCGCTAAGATGCTTTGTGCAAGTGGGCGTGGTCAGGACATTTGTTGCACTTCCGTGTTTTATTCAGTTTAATTGGAGGGGAGGGGGAGGGGGATTTCTGAACATTGTTTGATTGAACGTCATGGTTGATTAGCTCACTGAAGATCCGGGTTAGAGCAAACAAACAAGTGGCTTCAATACCAACAAAACAATCTTACGCCTTAGATACACCATTCTCTCAAACCATACTGACATGTATGAAACCTGTACGGCGAATTAAATGTTCAACGCTGTGTTAAACCCAAATCACTCACTCACTCTTTGCCAAACTGCATATCACGCCAATGTAACTTGGGCCGTAGCATGAGGATATTTATAACACGTCCATGCTATAACATAGATAGACAATAGCCGTAACAGTGCAATGTTTGTAACGTTAAGACGTTTACACAGATTTACAATTGACGTAACAGTGGAATGTTTGTAACGTCAATACTTTAACACAGATTTACAATTGCCGGAACAGTGTAATGTTTGTAACGTCAAGACTGTAACACAGATTTACAACAGCCGTAGCACTAAGATGTTTGTAACTTTGTCAGATTCCATTTCAAATAATATATGACAACTATTTTCTATGAAAGCAAGCCCTGTTCAAGTAGGCCTCAGCCCTTGTAGCGTTAGAACCATATCTACACATTTACATAAAAGACGGCCGTAAAAGGCGACTATGCGTGTCGTAAGAGGCGACTAACGGGATCGGGTGGTCAGGCTCGCTGACTTGGTTAATGCATGCAATCGTACCCCAATTGCGTCGATCGATGCCCATGACATCAGTCATTGGATTGTCTGGCCCAGACTCAATTATTTACAGACCGCCGTCTATTGCTCACTATTGCTGAGTGCGACGTTAAACAACAAACAAACATAAAAGACGGACTCAAAAAGTCAATTCTTACATCTTTATTTGGTATATACAAAGCTTAATTTACATAGAAACATTAGTAAGAGATTCGGGAGGAGCAAGCCAAGATTGACAAATATTACAAATTGCTCTCAAGTTATCTGCCGACGTATGTACATTGCGAGCTTGATCAATCAAACCAAAACTGACCTCTCCACCTGGAGTATGTTGGCATGAGTATACAATCCACATAGCTTTATTATTTCTTACAATAAAAACAATATGTACATATCAACACGCATAAAACTACCAAATCAGCATGTCGCTCTTTCAAACAAAACAAAAACTAGGGTAGTCGCAAAACATAACAACATTTCATTATTTGTTCTGTTATTAATGAGTTGCGGTATCTACACGTCGTCAATCACAGATGAAGGGGTTAAGATGTCAAATAAAATTGACGTTGCCTGGCAACGCCATTGTCACGTGTCACGTTGTATACAGCTGGCACTAACGTCCCCGAGATCTACAAAGTATGTACACTGTAGGGCTTATTGGGATGATTTACCAGTAAAAGTGTCAAGCATCATGCACCGCTAGAAACGGAACGAAATATGGATAGTAGCTGCCATTATAATGCTGGGTTAAAGCTAACATATTTTAACTGGTAAATTATAAACACACGGCAATAGTTGCAGTCACGGCACAGAGAGCGCAAATGCCACAGTCACAACAGTGCACCAATTTGATCAGTGCCGGTATCAGATGTTTGTTCTCTGAAAGCTATAAGACGCAAGCACAGTTCTACATCTACAGGAATCACAAGCGTTTCAGAGTACTACCACATCGGGCCGACCACACATTCCCTTGCTCTCCATTCACACACTTCAGTTCACGGTCAACTGAAATTGTCCTTCATCAAAGGGAGACAACACAGCCCGCTACCTATCACAGTTAGAGTTGTCTCCCCGGCCTTCTGTTAGTTATTCCTCCCACCAGCACATCATCACAGACAGTTACGGTAGTTTCAGCATACATGTAATTCCAACAAAGGGGTTCAGGAGTTGTCGACTTCTTTGCGAGTATGGGTGTTCAGAAAGACTTCCGGATAGACAGTCCATTATGTCATGCGCAGTGTACCGGAAGGCACAGGATGGAGCTGAGAAATGGCGGCAGCTAGAACGTGTCATGTCCACTTCCTTTCCCAACAAGAGAAGGAGAGTATTTTGCATTGTTCGCCAGCCAAAGAGGGCAAACATATTATGACCATTCGGGCGTCAGTAGCAGATATATACACATAGTTAAATGCTGCCATTTGCAAAGTAGTATTTACAGCGCCATCTAGTGTGCTTTTCCTCATACACATTCCTGCTTTTTCGTGTTTCTCAGTCGCATAGCAACGGCAGCAACAAGAGCAGCGCCCTTTCCTGAACCGTCGTGAGATAGCTGGAGCCGGAACTGAAAGTAGGGATATGGAAGGTTATTCCCTAGTAACACAATAACTGATATGTTGTACCTTCAAATTTAACGTGGTTTAGACAATGGAATCAGAATGGATTATCCATGTGGAGTAAATGATAATGGGTCAAACCAGCAATAGGACCTGACCGCGACTAATTAATCTAATGTTCAATCAATGCATTGTTTAAAAAAAGTTCAAAGAAAGTGTGAAGTGTGTGCAACGTTCAACAACATCTATCAATCCAAAATACTGTAAGATTTCCTGTATGTTTATATATAACCTGTTCACTATATCTGACAGTTTCCATGTTGTGGGATGATGCATCTGTGAGGAGGCAGAGCACGTACCTTCAGTCCGGGTTTGACGAGCTCCTGCATCTTGAGACTCATGAGGTTGTGGAAGCGGGGGTGGAAGCGGTACAAGGACCCGTCTACTGCAATTGTCATGTCACTTTTGTTCTTCTTGTTGATCAGAGTGGAAAGCCCTGCAGAGGCGAGAACGCAATCAGTACCAGACAATGAAGAACTGCTACACAATCAGTACCAGACAATGAAGAACTGCTAAATCAGTACGAGACAATGAAGAACTGCTACACAATCAGTACCAGACAATAAAGAACCGGTACACAATCAGTACCAGACAATGAAGAACTGCTGCACAATCAGTACCAGACAATGAAGAACCGGTACACGATCAGTACCAGACAATGGAGAACTGCTACACAATCAGTACCAGCCACTGAAGAACCGGTACACGATCAGTACCAGACAATGGAGAACTGCTACACAATCAGTACCAGACAATGAAGAACTGCTGCACAATCAGTACCAGACAATGAAGAACCGGTACACGATCAGTACCAGACAATGGAGAACTGCTACACAATCAGTACCAGACAATGAAGAACTGCTACACAATCAGTACCAGCCACTGAAGAACCGGTACACGATCAGTACCAGACAATGGAGAACTGCTACACAATCAGTACCAGCCACTGAAGAACCGGTACACGATCAGTACCAGACAATGGAGAACTGCTACACAATCAGTACCAGACACTGAAGAACTGCTACACAATCAGTAACAGACACTGAAGAACAGGTACACGATTAGTGCCAGACAATGAAGAACTGCTACACAATCAGCACCAGACAATGAAGAACTGCTACACAATCAGTACCAGACACTGAAGAACCGGTACACGATCAGTACCAGACAATAAAGAACCGGTACACAATCAGTAAAAGACAATCGAAAATCAGTACACACTCAGCACCAAGCAATGAGATCAGAGAATCGGTAAACAATCAATATAAGATAATACACAGTCACGGCACAATTAGTGACCAGTCAGAGAATATTCAGCGATCATTCTAAAGAGGTAGAGCTGATAAACCCTCAAAGTAGATGTGGACGTTCTGATAGTTACAATGTTTCGTTTTTCTCAAAAAACTACAACTCATATCTCACCGCCCTACATAGCCTAAGACCAGACTGTAAACCGGATATGGTAATCACGTGACCGGAAGTACTCACCAGCAGCTGAAAGGAATGCAGCTCTTGCCGAGATGAGGGTGCAGACGTACTTGACGATCTTACAGTCTTCTGTCGTGTAGTTCTCCACACCAATCTCGTCAAGGACCTGTTTGGTGTTGCGGAAAAATTCGTCATGGTCGCTACAACATAATCAACAATAGGTGTGTGAGAGATTGTTCAGATAACCACCAAAGTAGGATTAATTCTTTGCATAAATGAGACGTCTTGCAGAGGATGACTACTAAAATAGAAAGAAGTGTAAGAATAAGAGAGCTTACCTTTCGATTTCCGAGACGTATTTGGTGTAGAATTTGCCCCTCTCGAATAAATAGCAATCTCTGTCTGCCCCGCGAAAGATGAGACCTTCCATGGCGAGACGCTCAAGGACAAGTCTGACAATCTCTCCCATGTACATCCCTGAGATCATCTTCTCTAATCTGGAAACAAATATCCGCCATTAGTAACCCTCAACCAAACTGCCATATCCTTAGGTTCCCTGTAATGTAACGCATTGTGTGCGTGTGCGTGTGCGTCTGCGTGTGCGTGTGCGTGTGTGTGATTGTATCTCTTTGACGACATGTGTCTTCATCACGTGAGATATTATTAACCAAAATCCCAAAGGTATCAAGTCGTACAAATTCAGATTCCAATCATATGAAAACCCGCAGTTTCAGCGGAATATTTAATCAGTGAGTTTGTCAGTATGAAGCCTTTCCGGAGAATATTTGATCCATCAACCGACTTCTCAGAATGTCCAAACGTAGTTGAAACGATAAAAAACAGAGGGATAATCAACAGAAAGCTATTAGTTTTGTTCTATTTGAATATTTGACGTCATATCCTCATGTTTCTCGCACAATGAAATGGCGCTTTCCTTTGAACATGGATTCATATACTACTCAAAAGAAGTTAAAGGATACCCCAGTGTTTCATATGACTGTGGTGAACATTTCACGACTGGTGGATACTGCATCACGCAGCCTTCCAATCGTAGGTGTTCTTTAACTTGTTTTGATTGGTATATACAGTGTTGGGGTTCATCATACAGTAAACTTCGGTTATAACGAACTCAAAGAGACCACCAATTTTAGTTCGTTATAACCGTAGTTCGTTATAAGCATATATACAAAAATGGCCGGGACTAAAAAAAAGTTACTTATATCGGTCAGTTCGTTATAAGCGTGTTCGTTATAAACGATGTTTACTGTATATATTGTTTCATCTTAGTCACGTGTATGTAGGTTTCAACGTACACTTGTTTCCCGGGGTTGATGGAGAATGTGTCCAACTCGCGGTCGTATTCAGTTCGGAGAAAGTCCAGACAGCCATTGTCTCCGAACGCGCCCCACTCAGTGTTGATGATGACCTGAAACAGACATCAGCCTTATGTCGATTTCATAGGGTATAGAGAACAACCATCCTAAACATATGTTCCCCGAGGCTTATTACTGTGCAACAGCTGCCCTCCCCAGAATCAAAACAAGCCGCCATTGTCATGCTTCCCACAAACAGTCCTCTGGTCGATGAGCTTATAAAGTTGCGCTATACATATATCACAAAGAACACATTCTGTTCATATTGTGTCAAAGGTATTTCGACCACACACCCTTTGCCTGTAAACAAATTCCTTGTATGTATGTATGTATGTATGTGTGTGTGTGTGTGTGTGTGTGTGTGTGTGTGTGTGTGTGTGTGTGTGTGTGTGTGTGTGTGTGTGTGTGTGTGTGTGTGTGAGGAGTGTGTGTGAGTGTGTGTGTGTCTTTGTGTGTGTGTGTGTGTGTGTGTGTGTGCTTGCATGCGTGCGCGTGCGTGTGTGTATTTAATGAGTGAGTGAGTTGGGTTAAAGGCGGTTTGAACAGTTATCCCTTTATATCACGGAGTGTCAGCTTAATGTGGGAGGAAAGTCCGAAGTGATGGATGCATATGGCATAGTTTGACACGTGACATACCTGTTCCGGGTGGTCGTAGTCCCCGTCCCACAATCCAACATTGTCCAACTTCTCCATGTAGCAGGCGTTACATCCGGTTCCTGTTACGAAAAGAGGAGCTTCGTCAGTTTTGTTTCTTCCAAAATATTTTATTTGTTATCACTAAACACATTACTTTATCAAGAAAAACAACAGGTTTGTATGAACATATTTACCCAAAATAAGTCCGATTTCGCATTGTCGGTCTGTGTGAGCAGCTGACATCAACGTTCCCACGGCGTCGTTGACGATAGCGACTATCTCAACGTCACAATTCTGTAACACAAGTTCACGCCAGTCACAAACTAATACCAATTTTGATATACTAACACGAGAACATACGTCTAGAAATGATTACAGGAAACTTGTAAATGGGAATATGTATAGATACACAGTTGAAAAGCTTATGACCATGGTTTTAAGCAACACCCAGCCAAATAAAGGCGGGAATACCAGAAATATTGTATCTCCTCATACCGTTCTGCGTAGGAGCGCTTCATGCAGCAGATGGCATATGTTTTCACCCACAACACCCTCACACCGGAAGCCCTTCGTCCATTTTGAAAGCCTCGCTTTGGCCAGTCCTTCCTGTCTGCAGGGAAAGGAGAAGGTAAACCCTAGGGGCAGCCTCTGTCCAACCAGGTCGTGATCCCGAACAAACTTCCCGATGCAGTCAGCGATGTGATCGAACAACTACAATAAAATACAAGTCCATCAAAATACCTTCACCCATATAACATAGTGATGCAGATAGAATATGTAAAGAAAGAAAATAACATAATGATCAAACAGCCCCATCCTCCCCATCCCCACCACCCCCATCCACGCACCTGCTGTCCTGTGCCGAGCATGATTCTCTGGGGTATAAGGTAGGTCTTGCTTTGGATGTCCACATCGCCCTTGTTCAGTTTTACCAGCAGCACCCGGAAGTTCGTGCCGCCAAGGTCAAGGGCAAGAAAGTCACCATTTTCTAGAGAAAAGGACATAAATTTATTCTTGAAAATGAAGAAAACAAGGACTGATCTGATGACCAAACGAAGGTGAAATACAAGTAAAAAAATTATTCGCCTGCAGTGGCCTTACTCCGGTACCCGCAATGTTCTTTAGCAAACTGCTTTGGCAAAGTGGCCTCTGTTAAAATCTTAATGGGTGTAATTTAATTCGAAATTCAAATGACTTTTCTTCAATGTCCCTACTCCAACACTTCCTCAAAGACCTTACTCCTATGTCCTTAAGGCTTTACCTGAACCATCCGGGAGGGATCTGACAAACGTTGGGAACATCTTGATGTCGGCCACATGGTGAGTTTGTTCCTTCAACCCATTGTTCATCTCCTGGTTCAGCAAATGCATCACACGCTTGTAGGTCAAGGTTGACAATTTGAAGCCCTTGACAAAAGCCTCAATCTGAAAGAAAGGGGAAAATGAATTAAGACCATGTGCAAACGCCAATAAATGCAACAAGTGCAACAAAGGAAGGGGGCCATCAAATACTCAATATGAATAAACATGGAAACTGCATATTTTCAACAAAGGCCATACATTGCATCAAATAACCATCGAGGCGGTTCACTTTTAATTTTATATACAAAACACGACCCATTATGCAGAGTGAAGCTATGTCTCGTAACACGATGGGCGTGTGTACGCCTGGCGGCCTATATGGGTCAGAGGGACACACAAGGCAGGGGGGTTCCAGTTGAAGCGTCGTCCTTCATGAAGGTCATCAACAGTCTGGTCCTTGACCCGCGTTGCCAAAAGAACCCGTACCTCACACACGGGTACACGCACACTTCAACTTCAACTCAATCGGACAAATAACCATGATGATCCCTTCCTCATGGCGAAACTGCATGTTTTTTAAATAAAGGAGGACTTCGGTGGATAACAGAGACTGAATATATTCTCTGGCGTTGATGTTTTGCATTTAAGGTTACTATGCACAGTTACTATGCTTCATAATGCATTCAGTGAACGGCCAAACACCCTTGGAAACACCCAGGTTCATGGAAGCACATTTCTCCAAATTTATAAGCTATATAGGGAAGGGTTATATTCCTAATAACATATAACCCTCGATGCAATGAGTTTGTTTGTTCGTTTGTTTGTTGTTTAAAGTCGCATTTAGCAATATGACAACGGTCTGTAAATAATCGAGTCTGGATCAGACAATCCAGGGATTAACATCATGACCATCGATCTCCGCAATTGGGAGACGATGACATGCATCAACACAGACCACCCGACAACGTTAGTCGCCTCTTACGACAAGCATTGGTACGTCTTGACCAGTGACAGGGATGTAATTCAGCCTCTATAAAGAATGCCGTCAAGTGTGTACGTCACCTGTTTGTCGTGCTAAATCGGGCCCTCTGTCAGTGAGCAATGTTTATTCATTGCTATCACTTCTCAGTCGATTGGCGACGAAAGGGGAAATCAAAGAGGTGGATGTGGAAGACCATAAGAAAGTCTCGTCTTACACAATCTGTGATTGGATTTTCCAAGAATAAACCGTTAATTAGGTTGGATTATGGAGTGAGCTGTCGAGCAGCTGTTAAGATGTCATACTACGTAGAGACACACTGCAAGGCTTCTGCAAGTCTCGAAATGTCGATGGTCAACCAGTTAAGCCAAAGTGTGACAGTAACACATCCAATGAAGACACGAGTGAGTGAGTTTGATTTTACGCCGCTTTTAGCAATATTCCAGCAATATCACGGCGGGGGACACCAGAAATGGGCTTCACACATTGTACCCATGTCGGGAATCGAACCCGGGTGTTCGGCGTGACGAGCGAACGCTTTAACCACTAGGCTACCCAGCCACCAATTTAGTGTTATAACACTTTGGGGGTAAACCAGATTCCTGCATAAGAGAGTCAAAATGGGACACTTTTCAAAACAGTAAGCGACTGAATAGAATATCTATCACACTTGTCTAACTATCTGAAGTTTATAACTTTATATTTAAAAAACGCTTACGTGCGAACAATGGAACTTTTTCTAAAGGTTCTATATCACTGAACCCCCTGAATGTCCCCTGCATTTGATCGTCATGTAAGTCAATTGTGAGTTGGATAAACACCAATAGGTTTCTTACCTCGCAAAAACATTCTGAATCAACGTCGCATTTACACATCCTGTTAATTTCCAAACTCATGTTGACTTCTGTCCGGAATATCCACTGGGCCAATCGTTTTCAGCAAAGGGCGAAAGGGTAGGAAGTCGAGCGCTGGGTCAGTGGGATATTCCGTTACCGAGCAGACTGAACAATAAGTGTTATCTACGTAACTCTTGGTTTTAAGCGCCAGACCATGTGACTTGTCGTTCGGCCTTGACCCCCTCGCGTGATACACCAGTCTCGTCAGTAACCAACAAGCCCCTCCCCCCTGCCAGTCGACGAACCTAACCTTGTATAATAACCGGATTTGTTTTACAACATCAGTCTAGAAAACCTTGACATACTCGGTAGCTGTACCTCGTCCAAGTTCTACTGAAGCAATGCACCAAGATCACATTTCACAGGCGCATAGAACTTATATATTGGATACGTATAGCGAAACTCCCTGACATCATTTCATTGTGGCTTAAACAAGCATGATCCACAAAAACAATACCAACCATCCGTTGGGCGGTTGGAGCTTCATGCATCGTTTCGTTAAAGTGAAATTTTCATTTAAAATCACGTTTAGAAAACCCATTATTTGATAACCATACCACACCAAATGTAAAATAAAAAGGACAGAGTGCATTTCCCTCAATCAAAACCCCGTGATCACAATATAGAAACAGAACATGCACGCCACATTGCGTAAGAGTTCTACTACTATGACATGCATCAACCAGGTCAGCGAGCCTGACAACCCGATCCCGTTAGTCGCCTCTTACGACAAGCACAGTCGCCTTTTACGGCAAGCATGGATTGCTGAAGACCTATTCTACCCCGGATCTTCACGGGTCGAACTGTTATCTGAATCAGGTTACACTCGGGTAAAATTGTCAATGCCTGCCTCTCTTATCGCCACCAGCGCTGAATGGGTGTCATGTTTATTCAATGGAAATAGGTTTTACTCTAAATTCTCTTATCAATATCTACACTATTTTACACAGTTATTTTTTTTAATTAAACCCTTCAATGCTGAAGCATGTACCATTCATAACTTTTTCAGGTACACGGGTCGCCGAGTTGTCCAAAAAGGCGCCGCAAATCGCTGTGTAGAGTTGCGTCGCTTTGGCGTGCAAGAAACCGATGGTCGTGGGTTCGAATCCCAGTTTCGCCAGATCATGTTTCCTGGTATGTCAGGACCATGTACGTGTTCTTGGGTTTCACCGAAGTGTTAAATGTCCAAGATACTGCATCACTTCCAGCTTTCGTCCCACGCCAAGCTTACCCGTCGTGATATAACAGTTTCCAAAGCGGCGTTAAAATATATTCACTCAATCACTCATTAGTGCTCCATACACATTGTTTATATTGTAAACATGCTGGGGAATTGGATAAAACCGGTTTCAAACAATCCACGTATGCAACTTAATTCGCTGTGCATAGAACAGCTTGAACTATATATAACTCGATAAGTTTGACATACGTAGAAGGTAAACTTGTTCTTTTCGAGTTTGATCATGTCCCCGTAAGCCAACACTGTACATCCGCTTGAACATTGATTCATATATATCACCTTACCAAGAGAATCAATCACGCATGCGCAGTAGCGGTACACTGCTGGAACAGCAGCCTATGCATACACGCCGTGTTTACACAGTAGGTATAGAACTGAAGCTTCACATTGCGTCAGACAGCCTGATGAAAGACTTGTCAAATTCTGGCAAACATATATCACACAGGTTCATTCACATTCGCTGAAGACATCGACTCTTTCTGGAATTGCACGTGAATGTAAGACACATTGATGACCTCTTGTTTTCATCAATAATCTACTTTTACCGTTTTCCCATTTTCACAAACGATATCATTCCCCGATCAAATTAAACATATGATGATGAAATATAGCCCTGTTTCAATTTAGTGTTGAAATTTTCAGTAATGAGGTTCGATAAAACTTCAGAATAACCAGCCAGACGAAACAGATTCCATAGGGCGTAATGGCAAAAAGCGGTGAAAACTACATGAATGGTTGCACAAAGCGATCGTAGCGCTAAGATGATCGTAACTTTAACATAGGCTTACAATAGTCTTAGCGCTAAGATCGCTTTGTGCAAGTGGGCCCAGGTGTTCGCGAAAAGGGTAGACATGCCCTACCCTCCCGGCAGCACCCGCAACTCACATAAGGATCAAACTGTGACGTTGATCAATTGTGTTGCTGCCGTCGGCTGCGGGTCAAGGTCAAGTATATATCCATAACCTGGATAATCGATGATGGCAACAAATACAAAGAAACAACACATAACACCAATACCTTTTATGGCAGACATTCAGGGGGTTCAGTGATATAGAACCTTTAGAAAAAGTTCCATTGTTCGCACGTAAGCGTTTTTTAAATATAAAGTTATAAACTTCAAATAGTTAGACAAGTGTGATAGATATTCTATTCAGTCGCTTACTGTTTTGAAAAGTGTCCCATTTTGACTCTCTTATGCAGGAATCTCGTTTACCCCCAAAGTGTTATAACACTAAATTGGTGGCGGGGTAGCCTAGTGGTTTAAGCGTTCGCTCGTCACGCTCGTCACACTGAAGGCCCGGGTTCGATTCCCTACAGGTTTACAATGTGTGAAGCCCATTTCTGGTGTCCCCCGGCGTGATTATATATATTGCTGAAAGCGGCGTAAAGCCAAACTCACTCACTCACTCCACCTAAATTGTATTTCATTCGTACAATAAGGCCCTTTTTCTATATACAAGCACTGAATACTCTGATTGAAAAAGAGACATCACAGAACTTCTCATGAACGTCTATGCCAAACTGGCAGCGGGGCTGTGGCGAACGGTGTTCAGGCCATTTTCATTTTAGCACTAGATTTGAAATTCAGTGACGTGTGAAACAAAGACATTGTTAACTGCTAAACTGGGTTTGCGGACATGATGCGTAGTGGTTGAGTCAACTTTGCTGGGACGGCTAATAAACCTGAGACTAGTGCCTCTTTAAAACGGCGTCCATCGGCAACTCACTCTGTAAGGTCGTCTCACTGTCGAATCGAAATCTTCGTATTTATAATTTGGAAGCGAGAGCATTCGCCAAGGAAATCCATAAGCGTTCCGATATCGAGTTATGAGTGATCGGCAGCCATTTTTAGGGATCGATGAACTGTTTGTCATTTTTTCAGAAGTTGGTAAGTGTCAGTAAGTACAAGATAGTATATGGATGATCCCTTCTTTAATTTATTATGATCGACGTTTCGGTATAGATCCTTATACCCGCAAGAGTGACTGGTGCTTGACAACGGGATAAGGATCTATACCGAAACGTCGATAATAATAGCATAAAGAAGGGATCATCCATAAAATATCTCGTCTTAAAGTGGGCTATCGATGTGTTCATACAGTTTTTGTTTCAAAGGGATTAATTTGATACAGGTATCAATCGGAAAATATACATATCTTTTTAATCAATTAGAATCAAGCATTTTTCAATGTCATGGTAGAATCACAAGTATTAGTGATTATTAGGATTACAAGTTTGTTTGCTTTTTAACGCCGCACTCAGCAATATTCTAGCTATATGACGGGGGTATGTAAATAATTGAGTCTGAACCAGACAATCCAGTGATTGACATCATGAGCATCGATCTACATAATTGGGAAACAATGGCATGCATCAACCAAGTCAGCGAGCCTGACCACTCGATCGTTACTCGCCTCTTACGACAAGCATAGTCGCCTTTTACGACAAGCATAGTCACCTTTTACTACAAGCATAGTCGCCTTTTACGGCAAGCATGGGTTGCTGAAGACCTATTCTACCCCGGATCATCACGAGTCAGGATAACAAGCAGATTCCTATGCAGAACGATGTACGGCCACTGCGATGTTGTTGAAATTGATACCATTATCTAAACAAATCAATGGCTACTTAATCAATGAAATTTTCATAGATACACATGTCTGTATATGTGTATGTATGAATCATAATGTTTTGTCATTTAAATATTGCATTTGATCCGTAATGATATATTTTCAGAAATAAATATCATCTTATCTATCTTATCTTATCATATATGTAATCCTCCGAATGTTTCCATTGGCCGAACCACGAATTATATTGCTAATATATCACTGTAGGGTAATTGGGACGGATAATTAGCAGTAGTCCTGCACCATGACCGTGGAATATATTTATTTTATGAAAAAATAATAATCTAGAAATGCATACAAAAGCAAGTCTAGCCAGCTCAAGCTAGCTCTATTCCACAGCATAGGGAATTTTTATTATTTTTCGAGTCAAGAAGGATATTGTGTAATATAAGATTTCAGAGACTTAATGTTTGTCTAAATAGTACTATGTGAACAAGCACTAAACACCCTGAGGTAACCAGCAACACTATCAACGTCATAAATAAACGTAATATAAAACCGTCGTGTTGTGTGTCCCCGTTTCGGTAGTATCAGATGACCGCGATGTCTCGTGGTTCCTCGCGTGAGACGGCGGGGCTTTGCTGTGGCACGTATATATAAATAGTCCTAACAGCTCGGGGCAGTGGGACAGGAAGGCAGGTGCGTGGTCACTGCTGGCAGAAGTCTGACCAGAGGTCAGCGCAGCGTTGGTATTTCATTCGCAAGCAGCGTAGTGAGGACGGCGTGGTCAACAGTTGCCGGCTACGCCGTACAGTAGGGGGATATGAAAGACCTCAATGGGTAACAATGACACCATTAAATCACAAATACATATACATATTTAAATACATATCAGGTATTTACTAGACTTTCCACAAATCTCAAAGGCAATAATTATTAGTTTAAATCATAAGTTCTAGATTATGAAAATAATAACAAGTTGTTCCTATAAGAGACTACTGTCCACATATCTAGACTTATTTGGAGGATAGACTTACAATACATACATGGACTTTCCTTTAATATAGCCTTGGAGCAAAGCTAGATATTGACGTGCTTGAATAGATTTTGTCGACAGATGGCACTGCTTGTCATGTAAATCCCAAACTGTCTGCTTGTGTTGTCGTCATGTTTTACTAATACAACTCAGCAAAACTTTAAAAAATCTTTTAGGCCTACACAACCAGGGGCCAACTAAAATCGGATAAATGGTTGTTGATATCAAATTTAGTACATGATTGTATTATATAGTTTTTTTTATAGTATTACATAACCTTATATATTT